AGGTTGAAATATTTAGGTTGTTATTGTGGTTTTATAGTAATTCTGATGAAGATGAATGGGAGATTGTTTACAGAATGTCCTCTAAGGTTAGTTATGCATGTGTTGCATTTTAATAAAAACCAACACAGCGATCGGAACCAACAAATAAAATTAGGAGACTGTCTCACATCAATGGAAAATTCTGAGAAGGAGGCATGACATTTGGTGGATATATTCCAGCTCAGACAGTCCCTCTTTAAGTTGCAGCCTTCAGGCTATTTATGGTCCTCCTCTCTTTGCACCGTGTCCCCATTAGGCCCACATTTTTCGTACAGTAACATCTTAGTCTTGTATGAAGTATTAAAAAAAATATCTTTGGTAGTTTCAACCTACAAAGGTGAAGAGAGTCTGCTCAACAATTTACAATCCATGGATAAGGATGATTCATATACAAAGGAATTCAAAGTGCTTTACATAATGCATTAGGCATATACAATGTCAGAGAGATAAAAGGAAATGATGAACTTCTAGATGCATACTGTCAAAATGTATTTGAGATGATCCTGACTGGGGACAGGCAGTAATCCTCTTGTTGAGTATCATCAGTAATTATCATGCTTTATTTATATAACCCAAGATTCATTTTGTATAGCTTCATGGGACATTTGTTTAAACAAAAATCTGTGACAGTGTTCCAGTCAGATCCATTTTTAGCTTGGTATGGGTGGCTGCTGCGTTCCTTTCCTTGACTTTTATTGTTGTTGAATTTATTAAGCAGACCACAGAGAGGTACATCAAGAACAATGGCTCTGTCACCTCAAATCATTAACAGGTTTTCTGCTCAGTTTCTTTATGTGGTGGAAAAACTGTTTTGGATCCAGAGGATGCTGAAAACTCCACTCGCTCTAGAAGGAAAAACTTAAAACTGGGACCTGCCCATTGCTTTGCCAGATCTTGATGGCAAGTTTTCACTGCGATGCATTGCCACTGGAAACACCCACAGAGGAAATCGTTAAATGTGAAACCAAAATATCGTAAGTGGGTCAGAGACGAGACGTTTTACCTTCAGCATAAACACCGGTCCAAAAAATTAAAGGGAAGTTGCAATAAATATTCTTCCCTTAAGTCAGGTGCATGCTCCTCTAAATGGTTAGAATTTTTTTTTTAGCCTTTATCAATTGAAGGTTGAACTTTGTCCACAGACCTGACGTGGCCTGTGGAGGAGATTTATCTGTTATCTCTCTCACACAGCAGTTAGCAGCCTGAGCCTTTTTGGCTTCTCTGCCCTGCTGACCTGTTTCACACAACTTTGGGAGGGTTGCAACCGTGAGTGTGTAGGACATGTGTGCTAACCAGACCTGCTGCAAAACAAGCCCACAAATATCAACCAGCTAGTGAAGAGGATGTCCTAGATACATTTTCTGTTCCCATTTTTGAGTTCCTAAAATTGCTGAAGTTTTACGTTGAGAAGGGCATGGCTGATCAGTGGAGCTTCATTAGTTGTGCATCCATCTGAATAGTAATGGCAGTTAACGTTGCTTTAACCTCACTGTTAAAAATGTAATTAGTGTTTTCATCCGCAGTTTGTACGAAAAGCCTAGCGGCAGTAAAATGAGACAGAAGTGATTGGAAATGTCAGCTTCAGTGGTGTCAAGAGAGGTCAGACAGGTCCTTAAAGTAAAAAGGGGTGTGTTGTTTTTTCACTTTTGAAATTTGTGTCGCCTTTTTCAGCATTTTAGAGACTCGTGAAATTTCCAGAGCTGCAAAATATGTTTTATGTCCATTTTAGACGCCCTCCAAGACTCACAATCTAAACCCAAAAATGTGTTTGTTTGTTTTTCACTAGAGGTTTCTGTAATTAATTTTTAGCATTAACATCGTGGGCTATATAATGTTTTAAATAGGAAAACTGCACCGTTTTATTTTGCATTGTTCTCTTGCATTTTAGTTTTGTCTTGGGAGGTTTTTTTGTTTTTAGCCCAACAAACTGTTCTTATTTAGTCTTAAATAACTTATGTACAGGAGCATATACAGGAAAGAAAAGAGGAAAGTTTCTCAGCATGGTCAAACAAACACAATGGAAAGCATGAGAAGCAACGGAAATGGAACAAAGCCAGGCGTTCCTTTTGATGATTAACTCCATTTTAATTGTTTGGCTATCCTCCGGTGGCTTTTTCAGTTTGTTTCGTTAAGAGGTTGCCTATGCTTGCTATCTGCTGTCCTCTCATATCTAACCAGCACACACAGGCAGTTTAATGATTAATAAAACCCAGTCATGTTTGTATAAAACGAACTTTCTACATCAGTCTTTGGCAAAAGCAGTAGATTATTATTGCGTGTGTGTGTTTGTGTTTCACTTTTCTCTTTATATTTATATCTTTCTTTCTGTTTGTGAGAGACTTATCTAACAAAAACAAACTGTACAAGTTTATTTAAGATCCTGCTTGTTGCTCCCATACACGATTTAAAGTCAAAATGCTTTGAGAGATGATTTTATGCAGACATCCACGCAACGGCATGTCTGTGTAAGGAGGAGAAGCTCAGATTTAAGGACTCTTAAGAAGGAAAAGTACCTTGGGTAAGCTCAAATATTAGCAAGCAAACAAATCTCTAAAACTGAAAATAAGTATTAGTCCTGAACAGCACAAAGTCCAGTTTCTGTGGAGAGAAGAGCTCTGTTATATACAGCAACCCCTCCTGTCTTTCAGTGAGATGGTGATAATACTCTGCACTGTTTTTCATGAATGTGAAGTCTGTTTCATGGCTTTGCTGTCAGTCAGATGTTTACCTGCACTTGAGTGACCAGTCTCCAGAGTTTTGTGGCAGTAACTAAATTTTTATGGAATTTAAACATTAAGGATTAACAATTGAGGTAGGGGAGTCATGGTGTGTGTCTGTATGCGATTATAGAAGTACAGTGTGTGTATATGGTGCTGAAAGTGTGCAAAAAAAGTATTGTAAAAATTACTAACTTAACAAACATGTCAGTATGTCATCGGTGCATGAAAGGATCTGACATGTCAGCTGGACAATTTAATAAGTTAATAAACTATGTTGTTTGTTTTGCTTAGTGAGATGTTATCCTTTTTCTTTTAGCTGCAGCAAATGTAAAAATATTAGTCAAATGTGTAAGTGTGGTTAGCCTCTAGGCAAACTGTATCTCAGATAAACTCAGGCTCAGACTGTAAACATTTAATTTATCACTTTACTGAATATATGGGAAAGTCAAATTATCATAAAATTTCCTGCAACATAGAGGGGAATAAAATATAAAGTTGCTTCTAAGACCATTTCTTGATTGGTGCTCAGAGAAAAATGCAAACATTTCTGTCTAAGAAAATAAATGAATAAATAAATACATTTAGCGCCTCGCTGGTCTCTTATCTGGAACATAACCTACACCGGAGCAGAGAGGTGTGCTGTAAAGTTAAATTAATGGGTTAGCAAGCTTAAACTCAGTGTTCTTTTTTACCTCGCTAGATCGTTATGGCAACTTGTTCTGAACACATAACCTGCTCAGGATCAGGTTATGTTCAAAGTTTAGCTAGAGACACCACGTACTCACTGATTTGTTTTTTGTTTTGTTTTTTTAATTTACGGTCTGCTCTAAGTGTAATAGACATTATCTGCTGCTATACGAAAAAGTTCCACGTGCAGTCTGTTCAGTCATGTGTTACAAACACCAATGAATGTAGTTCAGTGATAAAGTTACAGGGATGCAGACTGTGCGTCACATTGTCACGGGAGATCGGTTCAGTTGGTGATGCAGAAAATGTCTTAATGTTTTCTGCTTGATCTGTTTCTCTGACACTTCTGGAACCGCAGCTAATAGAACACAGATTAGAAAATTCCTCTGCTTGATTTTTGAATCACTCAGCATTTATAGACGTCAAATCACAAGACTTCACAAGACTTTGTCCTGTCTGTAGCTATCATCTGTTCCTTTTGATAATGTCCGATTGACGCTCAGTTGGTAAATTTTTAAAACCATTGTCATGATACCAAATCTCTCTGGCGCCTAAGTTTGTGAATGCAATAACTCGAGAACAAGGCAACATAGGAACTTCAAATTGATACCATAGGTGTGCTCCTTAAAAATATCAAATGAGTTTGAATCTCAGTGATCTTGGCGTAAAGGTCAAAGGTTAGAGTAGGTTTTCTGAAACTCTTGTGAATGCAAAATTTGAGAAAAGGGTGACATAGGATGTTGAAATTGATAATATAAGTGTGTCTACTAGGAGCCTGAGAGGTAGCACAGGAAGCGGCCAGTATCTTTGTTTTTTGTCAAGTCAGCTAACACAAAGAAACCCTGGCTATGTTGATCATAAGTGGCAGCGCACTTCTTCTAAATAGGTTTGCAGCATAACCTGCCATAGCACTATACCCTGTTAAGAAGTGAACCACTTTTTGTACCACTGGGCAATCGGAGTGCCATGTTTATATGCAGCATGAAGTTAGGATCTGCATTTTGAGTAAGAATACTGTACACGGGGAATTACTTATTGTTGTACTAAGAAAGCACTCCCTCTGTTGCTTTCACATAGATTTAGTCAACACATTTTGTCCTGTGGTACTTGTCAGGAAAATTATTAACTTAAAAATAAAAAAATGAAAACCATGAAAAGATACAAAAATAAATCATAAGAATGTTTGAACCTCCCTGAAGTGAAATTAAATGAAACCAAGTTCTGTTTTACTGTGAATTTTGACACCAGGGTTTTCATTTCATTAACAGCAAATCTACATCTGTTCCAAATATCACACATAAAACTGTATATTATTATTAAAAGCTGTATACACCCTCCCACCCAATCATGAATGCTCACAGGGGTCAGACTTCACCACTTCTTCTACCAGAAACACTAATATAGATATAGTTATCATTTTGTATTTAAATCAGGGTTATTGGTCCTTTCTTTAAGAAGCACGCTTTCAGTATGTAAAATTAGAACTGATGTCTTTTTTGTCCTCTTTTTTTGTGCTCAGTATTGACACCTGGGTTCTTTCTCTCTCATTTGCAGATTCAGTCTTTTCTCTGCCTCCTCCCCTTCCCGATCCCTTTTCCCCATTGGCTGTTGTCCCCAGACGGTGCACAAAAGTATGGGGTAAAAGTGCTGAGGAGACACCAGGAGAACAAGAGCTGAAGAGGCCCACTCACCTGCACAGGTAAGATCACACAACGTGCGTCGTTAAAAATGTTTTGAATAGGCAGTGCATCTCTTGCCATGTCTGTCACATTAAGACTCTCATTTAGATCTGTATAGCTATATTCTGTTATGTTTACACATGAAGTTTAAGGTTTTAGGAAGGTGCATTGTTCATCGGTTCTCTCCACAGTATAGTATTTAAAGCCATCTAAACATAATCATGAAAGCTATTAAGGTCCACTAAGAAGCATACAAACCCAGCCCTTCAAGCTGCCATTGTTCTGTAGTGTCTCACACCCATCCCCCACTCAGGTGGGATGGCTTACCTCAGTGAACCTTTTTATCAGGTGGAAGCCACACTGGTCAAACACAGTCTAGTGTTGTCGGGTAAATTACTGATCTCATCACGATCCCACAGACCTGTTTGTTACCCGAGACCATATGGTGTCGCCACAAGCTTCATGATAGATAAACATAAAGTTAATGAATAATGGAGAGAGAGGTTTAAAAGCAGATGGGATAATTATGTTAAAAACTACACCAAAGTGCCCATAGACAACCTACGCAGATACAAGAAGAACATGTAAAGTACACACAGAGAGGTCTTGTCCCGATGGTGGCAAATTGTATCTATATGGAATAAAAAAATAAAAAATAGATTACATGCTATTGTTTCAGTGTATAATGTGTAGTCCTTTAACCCCCAAAAAATCCTAATCATACCACAAAGGGTTTTAATTGGCATCTTTTGATGGTTGACTTGAATCAAAGTAGTCAAGTGTATCTGTGTAAAAGAAGCCTGACTGTCTTGGAATCCGTTATCTAAATAAAGTATAATTAGCTTTTATCTTTAAAGCCAAGTCAGACAAATTCTGCAAAAGAAGAGCCATAAAGGTTTATTGTGAGCAATAAAAGTGCCACTGCTAATGTTTGCAGACTGCTTTTTGACATTGCGTTTCTTTATCTCTGCCGGAACCGTTATCATGCTCCATTGCTGTCTTTTACCACAGTGAGACTATTTCTTATTATTAGTTTATTAATAATTAGACTTTTTTTCCTCATTCTGTATGGATTCTGCATACAGTCGGTTTCAGAAAAAATACAATAAAACTTTCTGTCCACTTATTTTGTAATTTTTAGGAGTACTTTGCACCATAACAAGTATAGGTGTGCACTGCCTCCTGTGATGACAGGATGTGACTCATGCTGTCTTTTCTTGGGGCACTGCTTATGCTCTGGATCTAAATGTGTTTTTGAAGATCCTTAAAATGAGAGTCCATTTAAAAATAATACATTGATGAGGTTTTATGAGGTAACGAGATCTAGTTAGATTAATCAAATCAAGAAGGCCATCAGTCAGTTGTGTTCACTTGCAGACAGCTTTCCAGCATACTTGGTGGGGCCAGACAATTGAATTCAGTTGCTTCCAGTTATTATGAAACATGATAACAGTGACTTTATTTTCTATTGCTTTGAAGCTCTGATGTCTTTTTGTGTAATAAATCAAGTTCACCTCTTGCCATTGCAGCACTGCACTTTTTCCCCCGCACCTTAATCTTCGAACTTACTCGTCCTTCAGTGTACCTATAAGTAAGCCTTTGGTCACTGAGCTCCAGAGGAAGTGAAATTCATAAGTTTTCCATAGAAGAAATGGTAGAAGAATTGTGTAACAGCTGTCTGCAGCTGATTTTTGCCTCGGATCACTCGAGGTCTCTCACACTTCCTGTGGTGAGCGTGCCCGTGTCATAGTCCAGCTTATGCCTTGCTTATACTGTGTTGCAGACATGGACACAGACATCTGGAGGGCCGACGGCCGAATAGTCATTCCTGTTATACTTTGAAGTCTGCTGCCGTAGATAGTTGATTGTAATGTAGATCGGTAGGAAGAGTCCACAGAGTCCCAAAAGAACAGGCAGGCGTGGACCATTGCACCCACTGTCTGATGGGATTTAAGTCACTCAGGCCGAAGCGGACCTCAGTGGGCTCGCAGGCATGGAAAGACATATCATAATATAATGAAGACATTATGAGCCAAAACAAATTATGAGAGAGATTCTGTGTTAAACCAGAATATATGAATTATTAACCCAAAGAATCCAAAAACCTCAAGTTACATTATGAGGTTTGTTAGTCAGTAGTGTTACTGGTTTGATGAGTGTTTAATAAATGGAATGTGTTGTGTATAATGCACTGATTAACTCTACCTACCAGGAAACTGCAACCTAACATAGAAAAACACACAGTAGTCCCAGCAGAAGCAGGAGGGCTGTCACTCAGTCTTCACCCACAGACCTCCTGTGGTGGAAGCACAGCTGTCCTTTCAGGCAGGCTTTATTGTCAAATGCACTCAAGTCAGGAACTAACCATGACCAGACATCTCCACATCCTCCAGTGCCTCCACATCTTTAAGTTTTGTTTTTCATTTAATGTATATTTCAAGATTAAGAAAATCATGTGTGAACTGATTTTAACTGTCTTTAAGCTGGAGTCAGCTCTAACAACACTGACTGAATGCAAAAGAACTGAAACTATAGCTTAAAGTTTGGTGCATGACCTTACTGTGCCTAATCTGTTTTTGTGTGAGCGTCAACCACAAGTGTAGACCTTGTCTTTTTAATGCTGACAGCTAGAAGCATTATATTTGTGTGTCAAACCACCAACATGCCTTAATTACTTCAGCTAAAATGGCCTCGATGTGAAACACTATGACTGAGTTTAATGTCTTAAACCAGATGCAGATGGTCAGCCAGACTTAGGCAGGTATGCGTGGATTTAGCTGCAGACTACTGGTGGTTAATTACAGGTCCAGAAGTTGTGGTTTCATCTACATGTTGTTTAGCTTTCTTCTTAAGAAGCCTCCCCCACCGACCCACCCACTCTTTTCCCAGAAGTGATCTTGTTTGTATGGGATGCAGAGGACGGGAAAGCTTAATTCTCCATGAGAGTAAGGGAGAAGAGGAGATTGAAGGAAAACTAGCATAAGTCCATGCTTGTCTGGTGATATAATACTGATAAGTGTGATGTATTCCTATCCTGCGTTGAGTCAGAACAAATTCAAAGGAACAGAGGAAACCTGATGGAGACGGGCAGAGTGAGGAGGAGTGAACGAGGCTCACGGAATAGAGAAAGAAGAGCAAACAGGAGTGCAGCAGTGGAGAGTTGTTGCTAGGAGGCTGAGAGAGCAACACAATACAGAGGCAGGAAGGATCCAGGGAGCAGTTCAGATCTGTTAGCTCATCAGGCAGAGCTCGCACCGCTTTTTGAGCTGTTTACATTGATAATTGTAATGAAGATAAATAAGTCTTAATGTCCTGACTCGGCTCTCTGGGGCTAAAGGGAGTACCATTCAAAACCTGGTGGAAACAGGTGAAGGCAAAATTAAATTCTTGTAAGTTGTTTAGAATTAAAAACACCTACACCATCTCTAAACACAATGATGAGCAGTACCCTTACACCCAAATGTTTCGAAAAAAAGACTAAACAGTTTTCAGATACAATGAAAATCCCCAGCAACACAAACTAGTGCCTCGTAACCTACCTGTGCCTGGTTGACAGCAAACAAATCCTGTGTCCTGTAATCTTTAATGCTACAACGGGATTTTCTTAAACCTAAAATATAACTCAAAGTGTCTTGTCTGTCCCAAAAGCTCTGCGATGAGATGTCTGCAGACGCAGATGAGAGGAAAGTGAAAGCAAACAGGCACCTCGGTCGTGCCAAAAAGCAGAAAAGAAGAGGCTGCGCTTGATTTTTAACAATAGATAACAGCAGCAAAAGTCTTTATCTCATTGAAATCACTGAAATTATTCGATTGAAAACAACGCTGGGGAGCGGCTTTTCTGACTGAGATGATCAAGAAGCACTTTCCCTAAATGAGCCCTAATGTCTCCCAGATGAGCAGACCCTTTTTGGCTTTCAGAGCTTGCAATCTTATATCATTATCCAGTCGTCTTTTTATTTTACTTTTAGTCGTTATGACTTCAGAGTGTTGTTAAGATTGGAAATTTGCCCAGAAGTGTGCAGCCTCACAGTGAAAACATTCACTCGGTTAGACTTTGTCACAAGTATGGTTAAGCAGTACCAAAACATGTAGTTTATCAATAACTTGATGAAAATATTGCGTTAAAGTGGCTGCTTCACTGGTCTGCAGGAAAAAGGAAACTTGAGAAAGTGAGGGGAACTCCAGGTAAGGACATTTTCAGAGGGGAAAGCGTGACTAAACAGAAACCTGAGGCACAGCTGAGCCTCCTGAAAGGACGGTATTGTCTGTTCAAGCTCACATGTCGTCCTCATTTCTTATTGGTTTGAGCAAAGGATACAAAAGCAGAGAGGAGGACAATGAATCCTCAAATGTTTGCCTTCCGTTAAATTGCCCTCTAACGTAGTAAACAAGTAAACATGATGTGGAAATGCAGGTGTATGCTGTGATTTCAGGCAGACTACCTTATCGTGCTTCATCCCGACAGTTAATGTGGTAAACTTGAACTCTCCTCACACCAAGCAGATCATTTGCTAATTGGTTTCTCATATTTAGTTTGGACTGGTCTGGACATGCAGCTTGGTAATTAGATCAGTTCAGGCTCACAGATAAAGTGAACAAAATAACAAGGCCTGATGATTGCTGATCTAGTTAGGTAGCTCAAAGTTAAATTATCTTTGTGTCTGTCGTAGGAGGAGTATTTTTTGTTTTTAATTATTCCAAGAAAAAAACCTACCCTACCTGTGATTTGATTATGGTGATAATGGAGACATGCCACCTCATAAGCTTTACGGGAAGTTTTTAAGTGTTTTGTAAGAAATCAGTTTAACCCTCACTGGTAAGCACAGCCATCACTTCTGAGTGAACCAGCATGTTCACTCAGAAGTGACTATGAAAGCCAAACAAACAAAGCATTGTTATACACCATATCAGTCAACCTGTGAAAAGTCAAGTGATTCAGTGTGAAGATGACACCACTCTGCTTCAGTCTTATCAGCAGTTTGACCTCTGACCTTCTTGATCAGATCAATACGTAATCTTGCTGTTGCTTTGGATAAACAAACTATTCTGACATAGTTTTACACAACGGGGGTTTCCATGTGATCGTTTTGTCAGTGTGGTTGAGGTGTCTTCTCTTCCTTTTTCCACCTATTGTTTCTCAACAGAGGGAAGTTGTAAACTTGCACGTTTCACCATAGATAACGGTTCTCCATCGTGCTTCCTCTGACCTGAAATTACCTGAGTGATTTGAGAATATTAACAAGTAAAAGATGAAAACTAAAGATCAGTTTGTGGTGAAGACTAAAGTCTTTGTTTCTTCTTCTGTGTGTCTGCACAGGTGTCGGCGTGTGCGGTAATCTGTCATGGGGCTGCTGCCAAAGATGAGGCTTAAGGTCGTGGTGTCACTGACTATGGTCAACCTCTTTATCTTCATCATCATCTCGCGGAACATCAACCAAGACAAAAGTGGACATCAAAAGATTCTTATCCCTTCCAAACGCTTCTGGGCTAAAGTGGCTCCCAGCTCGGCCTACTGGAACCGCCAGCAGCAGATTCTGGACATTCACAGCAATCAAATCTTCATGACAAACCACAGCAGCGACATCCCTGAGTGGCTCAATGACACCAGTTTGACCTCCAACGTCTGTCAGCCTAACCTCAGGGTGACCACTCAGGTAAAAGATTACAACTCCCTGCTGCCCCGCTTCAAGGACTTCCTGCTTTACATGCGCTGCCGCTCCTACCCGATCATTATGGACCAGCTGGATATCTGCAAGGAGCCACCGTTTCTGCTGCTGGCTGTCAAATCGCTGGTGCCTCACTTTGATCGCCGCCAGGCCATCCGCCAGTCCTGGGGAAAAGCAGGCGTATTAGCCAATCGGACAGTGGTTACCATTTTCCTCCTTGGTAACGCAACACCTGGAGACCACCACCCAGATCTGTCTGGTATGCTGCATTTTGAGAACGCCCGCCATAAAGACATCATCCAGTGGGATTTCCGTGATTCGTTTTTCAATTTGACTGTCAAAGAAGTTCTTTTCCTGGAGTGGATCCAGGCACGTTGCTCCGGCGCCCAATTCATCTTCAAAGGCGACGACGACGTCTTCGT